AACATTAAAACAAAATGTATATCAAACTTACGTCAGATGGCCGTATCTTGATGAAGAAACTGCTGCGTTTGTAGGAGACTTTGAGAACCTTTGGCCAGGGGAATCGATTAATCCTCAGCTTGTCCTTATACACCATCAGGCCACTGGAGCAAACACCCAGCATTATATCCACTCCATCCAGATCCTGACAGAAAGAGAAAAAAAAGAACAGGAAAAAAAATTATATAATCTTTTGACTTTGATGACTTGAGTCTTACTTGAACTTGAATCTCAGTGTATAAACAAAGATTTTGCAATAACAAAGCTCCACCACTAGGGGGCGGCCTTGCTTCTCCTTTAAAAATTGAGTCCATAATTTATTTAAATCCATGTCTTGATGCAAACAGATTGACCTGGTTTCAGCTACCAAATCTGAGCAGTGACAGGACATGCAATGCTTTTATCACAAGCACTCCTGTGAGATGAAGGACATTTCAGTCTAACCAGTGTTTTTATGACAGCTCAGATTGATGATTTCACATAAAGAACGCAGTGGTTTAATCAGTGCCGAGGAAAGTCACATTGTCTAACTGGGACATGTAATTGAATGTATTTTAAATCACAGCACACCTCAGTAAATGGAGACTTAATGTATTTATGTAAGGTAAATGTATTTATTATTATTATCCAATCAACAACCAAAGTTACTGTAAAAAAATAAATAAATTACCAATAAATACAAAACCAACTTTGTATAAAGTATTTAAATAATATAGGTTTCATGCCATTTTAGCATATAATTTACTTATTTTATTTATTTATTCCAAATTTTTTTGGAAAATATTATTATATCATGGATTTTATACTGTATTGCAAACATTGCAAACCGCATAAAAAAAGACAATAAAACAACTAAATTAATAGCTAGTGTGGCAATTTTCTGAAGGTTAACCATTTTTATTATTATTATTTATTGTATTTATGTATTTATTATTTATATTTTGTATTTATTGTAAGTATCTCCAGTTAATCTACTGTACCTTTGCCTGGTGGAGATCAACCCCATACATGGCCAGTTTTTTAGCATTCTCCAGGAACATCATATCAGCCTGAGCCGGACTCATAGATCTGTAGAAAAACAAACAAACAAAAACTAGTCATAACAACATACCTTGCTACAGAAAAGGAAAGTGCAAATACTAAATATTTTAATGCTAACCTCTTGTACATGTGCATTTATTTCAATTGCGTTAACAAATATTTCCCAAGCATCCATTTATGATAAGAATATATGTGCGTAAATCATCAGCGCACCAGTAAGAAGCAGTCATGATCACCTGTATGTGCGGTGAAGCTCCATGACTTTCTCCTCCAGCTCCTTGGTCTGTCCTGGGATAAGCTGGAGCTCCTTGGCATAGTCGGTGCCGTGAACCTCGAGGTCGTACTCGCCCAGCTCAGACTGCAGGGCGTAAGATCCCAGCAGGGCCAGGGTCACGAAAGAGCAGGGCAGGCGGCCATTCTTGATGTCCTTCCGCAGCTGCAAACACAAGTAGTACCTGCAGAGCGCAAAGACTTTAATTTAAGCTCAAAAACTCAAAGACATTATGTGCCAAGTTATCACATGTTACAAGTTGGGACAATATGTTGTTGCAAAACATACTGCACAGGAGTCCAGAACTGCAACCATGACAACAGCAGTAAATTGACGTCAACGCGCTGCTGTGATTATTCAGGGTGAAAGGGCTTTTGTAATTTACGAGTGTGATAATGAAACTGGCTAGAGAATTGCATGCCAACTTGGTAGGAAACAGCAGGAGGCTCTCTCTATTTTATTAATGATTTAATCTGGCAAGTATCGGAGATTAGTTGTAAAATTAGTAAGCATGAAAGAGAGAGAGAGAGAGAGAGAGAGAGAGAGAGAGAGAGAGAGAGGGAGACAAACTATTATCATATATGGCGAGAACTGGATATTAGTAAGGATGACAATTGTGAGGAATTTAATTCTTCTGGTTCTGATTCTAATTGTAAATTCACTTATTTTTTGTGGAACTTGTTAATCAAGTAGCAGTGTGTCACAGTCTGCAGCTGGAGTGCCCAAGATGGCCACCAGAGAGCACTCCTGTGGTTTTTTGTGAGCACATGGCTTGTGTTGTGTTTGTTTGTCGCGTGTATTATGTCTGTCTGTATTGTTGTCCCTGGCCTGCCAGTCTGTTTTCCCCCTCAGGGTAGTTTTTGTTGTTGTTTCGTTTCATTTTATTATTAAAGAGGTCATATGATGCGATTTCAATTTTTCCTTTCTCTTTGGAGTGTTAGAAGCTCTTGGTGCATAAAGAATATCTGTAAAGTTGCAAAGACTAAAGTCTCAAATCCAAAGAGATATTCTTTATAAAATGAAGAGTCAGCCACACCTAACTAAAACGGCTCGTTCTATCACGCCCCCACATATCTACGTAACTATGTGGGAAGATTTGCATAACGCCACCAAAATGTTCACGCCAAGAAAGAAGGCGTAACTTTTATTCTCGCTGTTTCAGACCGATGAGCTTTGTAAAAATCGACGCATTTCAGAAAGGCGGGGCATAGAGGAGAAACAATAATGTACAGTATGTGGAAAATAATGTTTTTTGAACCTTAAACCGCATAAACATTTCATTACACCAAATACACAAAATAATGTTCTTTTTAGCAACATCATATGACCCCTTTAAATAACCCTTTCTTCCTGCAACTTGAGTCCTCGCCTCATCTCTCCACACGCACCGTGACAGAACGGATTAGCCAAGATGAGGAAGAAGGGTGTGCGCCATTCACCTGTCTCCACTCTCACTAGCCCCCTCTACCAATGCATGCTCCAGCTCAAGGCCTTGAGCTCCCCCTGTCAGCAGGAGACTGACTTGAGGGAGTTCAGGCGTGCTGCGGAGGGGCTGGACTACAACGATGCGGCTCTCAAGGACCTATTAAACTATGCCCTTGATGAGCCCATCAGCATTTGGAGGAGGTTTGGCATGGAGCACCTGTCTTTTGGGGCGTTTGTGGACTTTCTAGCCCACAGGGAGAGACAGTCAGTTCTTGAGCCTGTTTACAAGATGGCTGCCAGTCCGGAACCTCTTCACCGGGTGGGCCCAAGGCTTTTGAGACTGGCTTCCAGGTTGGCGGATCCACCGTTGATCTCAGCCAGAGCAGCTGGCATTTCTACTGTGGGCTCAAGTCCGGTGGTCCTGGAGGACCCGACTCTGGTGGTCTCAAGTCCGGTGGTCCTGGAGGACCTGCCTCCGGTGGTCTCAGAGATCACCAAAGAGCTGCCCGATTTCACTGCCCGCTGCCATAATCAAGAAGGTCGTCTTTGCCTTTCACCTCATGGCTGTTCTGTGGGCAAAGTCCACTCCAGAACCAACTCCAGTCCGGGAGCCTTCAGAGTCCACTCAAGAGCCAGCTCCAGTCCAGGAGCATTCAGAGTCCAATAAAGAGTCAGCTCCAGTCCGGGAGCCTTCAGAGTCCACTCAAGAGCCAGCTCCAGTCCAGGAGCATTCAGAGTCCAATAAAGAGTCAGCTCCAGTCCGGGAGCCTTCAGAGTCCACTCAAGAGCCAGCTCCAGTCCAGGAGCATTCAGAGTCCAATAAAGAGTCAGCTCCAGTCCGGGAGCCTTCAGAGTCCACTCAAGAGCCAGCTCCAGTCCAGGAGCATTCAGAGTCCACTCAAGAGTCAGCTCCAGTCCGGGAGCCTTCAGAGTCCACTCGAGAGCCAGCTCCAGTCCGGGAGCATTCAGAGTCCAGTCATGAACCCGCTCCAGTCTGGGAGACTTCAGAGTCCACTCCAGAGCCTGCTCCAGTCCTGGAGCCTTCAGGGCCTGCTCAAGTTCCTCCCGAGGTGGCGGCTTCTGCTGCAGAACCTCCCGAGGTGGCGGCATCCACCTCAGCTCCTCTCAAGTGGTGGTTCTCTTCTCTGCCTGCTCCGCTCTGGTGGGCTTCAGCTCCACCTGCTCCACTCTGGTGGGCTTACACTCCACCAGCTCCACCCTGGTTCCATGATCTACCTAAGGATCCTTCCCCTACATGGGCCTGGCCCGCCGTCCCTCCCCCTAGTCCACCTCCATTCCGCCCCCCTCCTGAATTCCTTTGACATTTGGTGGAGCGTCTGGAATCCGCTCGTTAAAGGAGGGGTTATCTCACAGTCTGCAGCTGGAGTGCCCAAGACGGCCACCAGAGGGCACTCCTGTGTTTTTTTGTGAGCACATGGCTTGTGTTGTGTTTGTTTGTCGTCAAGTATGCTTTTGGGGTGTATTATGTCTGTCTGTATTGTTGTCCTTGGCCTGCCTGCCTGTTTTCCCCCTCGGGGTAGTTTTTGTTGTTGTTTTGTTTCATTTTATTATTAAATAACCCTTTCTTCCTGCAACTTGAGTTCTCGCCTCATCTCTCCACACGCACCGTGACACAGTGCCACTGCTGAATGCACATTTGACACCGGGTACTTCAGTAGGGTTTCCACTTGCTTTGGCTACTCGCATGTCCTGCTGCTAGGGCTGCACAATATCGGAGAACTTCTACTATGATTGAGATAATATTGTAGGACAATGCATCTGCATATAAAAATCTGAAATGGTTTTATTACTCTAAAAAAAGGTATGAACTACCCTTTCAGGACTGAACGAACATTTGTGTTCACACTTGGTTATAATCTTTACATAATCCAACTGCTCCAAGGAACAGCGAGTGTTTGCTTGATACTTTGTTTCTGTATCTGTTGTTTAAATTGTTACTTGCTGCTTAGAAGGATTAGTTTGTTTTCGACCTATTTCTACTTTTAATTTTTCATTGTAATTTGTATTTTTGATTGCACTTATTTGTAATTAGAATAATAGCCATCAACTAAAAAGGAGCTTTTTTTATTTATATTGCTCCGATCCTGCACTTAAGTAAGAACTTTAGTTTCGATTTGAGCAATTGCCCTGCTATAGGCTTTTGGGTGTGCTAATTAACAAGGTGGCCACAGCTGTTTTCTCTGAAGTGTCGTGTGGCTGTGTATTTATTTGTTATCTGTTAGCTGATGCGGAAGCGTTCAGCCCTCATGTTCAGCCTCCTCGTGTGAAGACCTACGAGTGTAAAGACCTGCGACTTTTTCCTGCGCGACTTTAACTGAGCAACGAAACTGGGCAACTCACTTAAGTACTCTCTTTTTTCCCTTTGCACACTCCTTGCTGTTCTCTCTCTTCCACCTCTATCATGTGTTTCCAAAACATTCCGGCTGTCTCGCAATAACGCTCTAACATCACTCTCAGATGGCACACAATCTTACTAACCTGCTTCCTATCTCTACATCTTCTACTGCACCTCTTTCTTTTTCTGTGGGTCTCTGGAATTGTCAGTCAGCTGTCAAAAAAGCAGACTTAATTTCTGCTTTTTCTTTGCAATCCACACTCAGCATCTTGGGCTTGACTGAGACCTGGATTCATCCAAAAGACTCCCCAGCTGCTCTGTCTAACAACTTCTCTTTCTCTCACACCCCTCCATCAGGTAGGGAGGGGTGGGGGCACTGGTCTGCTCATTTCTGACAATTGGAAATACTCAATCCACTCTCCCCTATGCAATTATAACTCATTTGAATCTCATATGATTACTGTAACAGCTCCTATAAAATTTCATGTTGTGGTAATTTACCAGCCTCCTGGGCAACTGGGCACCTTTCTAGAGGAGCTGGATGGTCTGCTGTCCTCATTCTCTGAGGATGGCAGTCCACTTTTAGTATTTGGCGACTTTAACATTCATCTGGACAAGCCTTATGCTGCAGACTTCCATTCACTCCTAGCTTCATTTGATTTCAAACGCCTTACCACCACAAACACTCACAAATCAGGCAACCAACTTGACTTAATTTACACACGCAATTGTATTGAAGACAACATTTTGGTGAAACCCCTAAACATCTCTGACCATTTCTTCATAACATTTAACCTACGTCTTCCTACCTGTGTGCCATCAACCCCTCTACCTCTTAGTTTTAGACGAAACCCCTCCCTTACACTCCCTTTCACCCTCCCATCTTTCCTATGTAGTGTCTTCCTCTCTTCGCTCACCTACCCTTTTCTCATCTCTGGATGTTAATGCAGCAACTGACACTTTATGCTCTACTTTAACTTCTTGTCTATATGATATATGTCCTCTCTCCTCCAGGCCAGCACGGGCTACCCCTTCTTACCCCTGGTTATCCGATGTTCTTCTTGAGCATCAATCCAAACTCAGGGCAGCAGAGAGAAAGTGGCGCAATTCAAAAAATCCGTCAGACCTGAGTATGTATCAGTCTTTGCTTTCATCTTTCTCTGCTCAAGTCCATACTGCCAAATCTTCATATTTCCACAACGAGATCAACAGCGCTCCAGACACACGTAACCTCTTCAAAACATTCAATTCTCTCCTCTGTCCCCCTCCTCCACCTCCCACCACTTCTATAACAGCTGATGATTTCGCCACATTCTTTAGACAAAACTAGAACAATCAGCATTCAGTTCTCAACTCCACACACACAGGAACTCAATCCAACCACATTTACTGCTAAAACTCCC